ACCAGACTGAGCGTACAGCAACTGTTGCCTCAGTTCTTCACCAGACTGAGCGTACAGCAACTGTTGCCTCAGCTCTTCACCAGACTGCACATACAGCAACTGTTGCCTCAGTTCTCCACCTGACTAAGCATACAGCAACTGTTGCTTCAGTTCTCCACCTGTTTGAGCATACAACTGTTGCCACAGTTCTCCACCAGACTGAACATACGGCAACTGTTGCCTCAGTTCTCCAGCAGACTGCACATACAGCAACTGTTGCCTCAGTTCTCCACCAGACTGAGCATACAGCAACTGTTGCCTCAGTTCTCCACCAGACTGCGCATACAGCAACTGTTGCCTCAGTTCTCCACCAGACTGCGCATACAGCAACTGTTGCCTCAGTTCTCCACCTGTCTGAGCATACAGCAACTGTTGCCTCAGTTCTCCACCAGACTGTGCATACAGCAACTGTTGCCTCAGTTCTTCACCAGACTAAGCATACAGCAACTGTTGCCCTCAGTTCTTCACCAGACTAAGCATACAGCAACTGTTGCCTCAGTTCTTCACCAGACTAAGCATACAGCAACTGTTGCCCTCAGTTGTTTACTAGTCTTTTGAGTTTGATGCAAGAATTCTCCTCCTGGTTGTAGTTCGGCTTCTTCAGGGTTCTCCACAGCGAGTGAACTCTCAGGAAAGACTTGGTGGCAGATTTTTTGGCCCATCCTTCCTGACCCACCCTGGACTGGAACCCTCGGCCCGAGGAACCAACAGGAACTTCTTGTTTTTTCAGTTTTTTGAGGTCATGACCCGTCTCAGCTCAGACCTGTGCAGACTTCAGGTAAAATTATTTTTAATCCTCCTTCATTCTTGGTTTCTCAGGTTGTTGATAAACTTTTGAATCCTCCTCCTCCTGAGGGTCCTCAGGTCGTTCTGACAGAACCTGGAGCTGCAGTTCTGAGATTGGACAGCAGGGGGCGCTGCTGCACCGAGGAGCCACAGAACCGGAACACGTCCAGGAAGTTTCAGCAGAACCTGCAGACGTCCCGTGGGCCCAGACGGACTTGATGGGCCTTAATACGAGTGATCCACTTTGGTTTGACCCAGACTAGTCATTAACTTGTTAATCCCGTCACAATAAAATCTCTAACTGAAGTCAGAGGCATCTTCAACAGGTAAGATATTAACTTTAATGCTCCACAGATCCCCATCTAAAACACCTGAACCAGCTCTTGAAGGCAACATGTCAAAGCTTCAAAATAAAAGCTTTTAAAATCAGCCTATTCATCAGGAAGTACTGTAGTCTAAACCCCGCCCCCTGCTGGTTCATACAAACAAAACCGGAACTGTGGACAAAATAAAAGCATGGCTCCAGGAAAACATTCAATAAACCTTTATTTTCATTCAAGATTGATCAGGATCCATCCATGTGTTTTCTTCCCGGATAAGCAGAAGAAAACACATGGATGGATTTCAGATCGACAGCAGAGGATGAATCATTTAAGAAATGACCAAAATGTTTGTTTAAAGTTTATTTTATTTCCTGTTATGTCGGCGTTTCCTGTGGAAATAAAGAGGCGGAGAACTAAAGTACAACTCACAAAATAAAAGTCCGGTTTATTGTCAAACAACAAACTTCTCACGTACATCAAAACAGGCCGTCAGAAAACAAAAACAAAGATCAAAGACCCGAGGCTCCTCCCACACACCGTTATGCCGACGTACAAACATGAAATTTTCTGGAATGCTCTGAGTTCGATTTTTAATTTTTAAAGTTTTCTGTGGATCCTGGACATGGTCAACCAAGTAAAACCTGCGAAGAAGCACCGACCGGTTCTGACGGGTTCTGCTGCCGAGAGAAACGGACCCCTCCTAACAATATGTACAAAAATATAAAATGTAAATAAAAATACAAACAAATCCTCCGTTGGGGTTGTTGTCGAAGAGAAGCCGGGTTCTGGGCGGGGATGTCCTCTGGATAATTTACCTGCAGCTGAAGGGGGCGGGGCCTGTGGTGATGCTTGTTGAACTCTACTTGCTAATGACCATGTTGTTGTTTTTTATTTTTATTTATTATTTTCTTTAGATCAGTCCTCCAGCCCCTCCACCTGTGACGCTTCAAAGGTCAGAGGTGAAGAACCAGGAAGTGGTTCAGCAGGGCGGCGCCGGCGCCAGACGCATCAATCGTCGTCGTCGGTCTTCTGCTTCTTGGTTTCCACGTCGTCCTGAAAGCACAGGCAGAGTGAGACGGCGCCGGCCGGCCGGCGGGCGGGCCCAGGCGACCCGACTCACCTCGTCGTCCTCGTCGTCGTCCTCAGCTGCCCGTTTTGTTCCGCCTTCGATGTCGTCCTCATCCTCGTCTTCCTCCTCCTCGTCCTCCTCATCACCTGGAGGAGCGAACGTTTAGAGCGCGTTTGATCTGACAGAAGTGAACGAAGAGACACCGACCTTCTCCGTCATCCTCTTCGTCTACCTCCTCTTCCTCCTCCTCGTCTACCTCAGGCTCCCCGTTCTCCTCGTTCTCCTGGAACAGGAAGTGGTCACCTGTCAGAGCTGACGCGACTCTCACCTGTGTGACGAGCGAGGCGTTACCTTTCCGTTGGTGGCAGCGTCTTTCCCGTTCTCCTTCTCCTCAGCGAGCTTCTTCTCCTTCAGGTCCTGACAGGAAACACAACATTTTAAAAATGGCTGCCGGAGCTACCTGCTGTCCTACTTACAGCCCACATTGTCTCCGCAGACCCGTAATCTGATCCTCTGAGCTGACGGCCCCAGGGGACTCTGGGTAATGTAGTCTTCCACCAGGGCTGCCGTGGCCGTCATGTCACAGACACGCCCGGGAGAAGCACTGCATTACCCAGCATGCACCGCTCCGTTTAAAATACCACAGGAGGAGCAGCTGAGGAGGAGGAGTGATGAAGGGGAGGAGGAGGCGGTGAGCGCGGCTTGTTGTAACGGAAAGGACAATAGAAGACGACACATGGCCGAACCGAACCGAACCACAGTTTAAAGAGCGCCGAGAAGCGCGCGGAGCCGCTGGTGCCAGCACGCGCCTCACGCACCCCATGTTATCGATCATCTTATTGGTTGCATCCATTTAACTGTTCAGCAGCAGAGCGCGCGCGGCTCCGCGTAAAAACGCGCCGCCCGCGCGTAAAAATGATCCAAACTAAAAATAGATTCCGATCAGAACCTCCGAACCGAGACCGGTCCAACTGATTACGAGGAGGCAGCCGCTTCACCACAGGTTCATCTCCCCCAGAACCGAACAAATCAGAAAGTTTCATCTGGACCGGCAGAACCTCAAGGATCAAAGTCCGATAAGGGGGCGGGAGAACCCCCGAACCAGAACCGACCCCAGAGAGGGGAAAACCAGCACAGTCACCTCACACCTCCACAGCGCGCACACGCACGCGCACCGTGAGGAGCGTCAGAAAAGGAAAAGTTTCCCTCCACGGAGCGGGTCGGAACACGCTGCAAAACACCGGAGGGTCCCCGGAGACCGGAGCAGAACCTCCGGGGGTCCGGAAACGCACCGGGTCGGACCAGGCGCGGCCCGATGGTCACCTTACCCTCTAGAAACACCAGCAGAACCAGCGCAGCAGAACCGGGTCAGGAGCTGAAAGTTGACAGTTCCGCACCGCGCGCAGCTCCGTCCTCCATTCAAACCGAACCGGACCTCACGAACCCAGCACCGGCCAGCTGTGACCAACAGGACTAATCCCTCCAACTCCGAACCGAACCCATCCTCGGACCCAGCCTCCTCCAGGAGGTGGAGGAGAAAATGCGCGTCAATTATCAGCTTCAACGCCGGAACGGTTCCGACCCGCAGTCGGTCCATGAGCGCGCTGGTTCGGACAGGATGAGCGCGTTAGGAGCGCAGAACCGAGCCGCCTGTATAAACAAAGAACCCGCGCAGCTCCGGACAATGAGCCGCGCAGCTCCGCGCTCCATCCCGGTTCTGGTTCTGGACGGGAAATTTCCACAGAATAAAAAGTATCAACAGAAACGATTTTATCCTCCGACCCGGTCCAACAGAGTCCGAATGAGCGCGCAGCCACGACGGGGAAAGGTTCTGGTCAAATGTAGGTTAGATGGTGCGCGCGGGTCTGTGCGCGCGGCGGCTTACCTTGGCGGAGATGTCCGAGCCGGAGTCCACCTGAGTGTCCGCCATTGTTTCAGCTGATTAAAATAAAGGACGGCAGGAAATGAAAGCTTGAAGAAAGTAAATCCTTCGGTTCGGTTCGGATTAGATTGTGTCAGTGGCAGTCGGTACTGACGGCCGTGCCTTTAATATAGCCTAATGGGCGGAGCCTGGGGAAGCTCGGTGAGAGCTCATTGGCTGGAGACCGCACAAGGGCGTTCCCTTCGCGCGCAGGAGTAAAACAATGGATAGACATTCTATAGCCCGAGGCCACGCCCCCTCCTGTTCTCCCTCCGCACACAGTCTTTTCTCCGTTAAAACCACGATCGAACCGATTAAAGGCACAAAACGGACCGGACCCGGGACCACGGTGCTCGTCAGACCCATGTCCGCGAAAAAAATCGAGTCCAAATCGAATTGCGCACTAAATATATCGGATAGACACGCGCTTGGTTTGACGTAGTGTCACTTTGATTGATTGATGTTCGTCTGGAGGAATCAGGAGGCGACTCGTACGGAGTTTTCCCGCCCACCGCCGCGACGAGGGAATACGGGCTGAATGCTGGAGATGAGCCTCCAGAACTGGGATTATTTAGTGGATTAAAGTGGAGCTCTGGCGTTAGTGCGGCTGTAAATCGTGAATGTGGAGCAGCGCCGCCATTACTCATGTCAGCCTTTCATGTCCGCCGCTCGCCCCTCCCCCTTCCCAACGGCCATGTTTAAACTGGTCTCTGAATCTGCGCACTTCACACTGCTCGTTAAAAACAACACTTAAAATCGCGCGCGAAGGTCGAAACCCGACGGCATCATCCAGGCCCGTCGAAGACGTAACCAGACGGTGCTGAAGGTGATTTCAGGAGTGACTCGGGCGGAGGGAGGCGCGTGGCCTCATTTCCTCCATTGTTGTGGAGCCCACAGAGAAATGCTCCGACATGGAGGCGGGAGGAGGAAAAAAACAGTGCGACACAACAGACATGCGATGAGACGAAGTGCGGGAAACACAAGCATCGTGTGCTCTCGTGAATAACAACACGGTGTTTTCTCTTACCGAGTTTTCAACTTTTAACATGAGAAGGACAAAGCGGCAACACAAACACGAGCAGCCGCCATTTCTGGTCAGAGGTGGGGGATGGGAGCGTGGCGCGCGCCGGTAACAGACGGCCCACATTCATCTGCTCTGATGACGCACTCTGCTGCCGGGGACGCCTCTGATTGGTCAGTTCGATGGAGTAAACAAGGCTTTGGCAAACGGCGGGCGCTGATTGGCTCCTGCGCACGTCAGTCAATTCAAACCGGATTGATCGGGGCTGGCTGTAAAGAGCGGCTCCGGATCGCGGATCTGGACTGTTCTGAGCGGTTTTTGTGGTGTTTGTGCTCAGTTTGTGACCAGGTCACCTTCTACATGTGAGGAAAAGCGTTCGTCTTTTCTGTCCCTCTCCTTCTTGCACGACTAACGGTGTGGAGGAGCAGAGCTCTTTGTGTTTCATGCTGCCTTCATGAAATATTAATCTGGGTGTCAGATGGAGTTCAGAGATCAGAGAATGGTTCCAAACGAACTTCATCCCTCTGACCGTGTTTTACTCAGAAAAATCTTCTGATGCTGAGAAAAAACAAAGCTGGAGCCACTTTTTATCAAACATTACAAAATAAAGTATTGTGCAATCTCACATGATATCAATTAATGACTCTCAGCTACTACCACACAGCTTTCAGCTCAACATCTTCGGGCACTAGCGATTTTCTTTTTGTGAGGGGGCTCAAGCACCCCTAAAGTTTAACGCTGCACCCCTGAAAAATAATTATTATTTTTAGGCGGTTCTGGGTTTGGGTTCTGTTTATTGCATTTATGATTCAATGCAACAAAATAAACAAAACAGATCATACTTGGTTTATTTACAGAATGACTATTTGCAGGATGTCCGGCCCCTGAGCTGCTGCTCTCAGTAACTGTGGCCCCTGAGCTGCTGGCTCTCAGTAACTGTGGCCCCTGAGCTGCTGGCTCTCAGTAACTGTGGCCCCTGAGCTGCTGCTCTCAGTAACTGTGGCCCCTGAGCTGCTGGCTCTCAGTAACTGTGGCCCCTGAGCTGCTGGCTCTCAGTAACTGTGG